TTTTTTTATGGTGTAAGTTATTAATTTTGATACTTAGTCATTATTTTTAGTTGAAATTTTGATATAGTTGCATTGTAATTTGAAGGGCTATTATCTAGGCAGACAAATGGATGTAAAATAAACTCCTTCTGATTCTTTTTTTATGCCAATTTTTCAAAAGCTTGACGCATCGGCACACTTTTCAATTATACAGTGCATGTAACCGAATTGGCTGCATTTAATTTGCATGCAATCCTTTTTCGATAGGATCCAATGTCCTGGAGAAATTCAAATTGATGTAATTCATGGCAACATATATACTATTAATAACTGAGAAGATTAAGAAAGAATCTAGTTTCTTGAGAAAAGGTACTCCTTTAAGAAGCCATCAGCTTTGATCGAGCTGTCATTTCTTTCTAAATGTATCATTTTACTTTCCTGACTATTCTAAGACTTAAACCCGTGACATATAGGAAGCCACAACCGAAAAAAAAATATTCTACAAGTAGTTTTACTTATGGTATTTCCGTTTTTATGATTTTTTTCGCATGACTTGGTAGAAATCTGAAGTTCAATGATAAGCTGTGCTCATTGATTTTTGAGTAATTAATATAAAGTTCGAAGTAATTCCCTCTATTTTTATAGCAAAATTGTGGATCTTACCTCTCCAACAAAATAAGGTAATGAGGGTGGGTAACTGTACGGTTTCTGGTCTCATAGCATCTTTCTGACAGGAATATCTGCACACATTCATAGTTCACACTAGAAACTATCCGTAAGCATGGCTTTAGTTACCTACCACCATAAGCCTTGACCTCTTTTAAGTTTATTTTCTTTTCCATGCTGAAAAGAAAAAAAAAAACATACCTCATTTTCTATTCAAGGAATTTTCCTAATGCTTTGTGAAGCCTGTTTCTATGTTTGATCTGATATATTTTCTTAAGACATTATATTCAGACTAGAGGAGGCTCAGGCTATGGATCATTTGGCCATGTTGTAAAAACAACCATATTGCATTTTTAAGGAGTACTATTGAAATCTACAGGTATGGAGTTATTCGAGAAAATGTGGCATCAAGCAGGATTAATTCAATACTCTGGGGTACATTCCTTTAGAGAGAAATCCTTAAGAGGGTTGAATATGGGAGGCTGAAATTAAACCCATAAACTCCTAAGTTTAAGCTAATCGGTATGGTCTATTAATAGCATTTTGAGAACTAAGTTTTTCTTAAAAATATAATGTGCAATTGTTCTCCACCCTTATGAGAATGTCCACACTTTTTCAGTCATCATTTCCCTTGAACTTTTAGCACCATAAAGTATGAAGCTTCAAGGGCCCATTTAACTGTGTAGAGCCTTCCTGGGAGTCATTCATGCTTAAACCTTATTTGACCATCATAAAAGTAGCTATGACCTGTCAAAGTCGCAAACTGTTTCAAAATTTTTATCTTAGTTGAACTTTCAGCTTTAATATCATGCGTTAAGAGGGTGGAACACTTTTGGCCCAAATTGATCTAATTATTAGAGGATAGATACCCGCCAATCCTTAAGCTTAAGCTATTGGGTGACATACACGGTAGTTTATTAACAAATAGCATATTTGAAGTTGCAATGGAAAGGGTTAAGCCCAACTATGGTTAGAAGTTCTAAAAGGATAGAGAACTGATACCAAAATAGAGCTCTTTAAGGGGTGATGGAGAAGGATTTAAATGCAGATATAATAAGTATATGGCTAACGGTGACGATGCTTTTGATGAACAATATCTACTATGCCAACTGCTATTTTTATTTGTAAAAACGATTGTGAATGATGTTAAACATCCCAATATGATACAATATTATAAGAAGCTAAGAGTTTAGTAAATTAGGTAGTTTGTAAATTCAAAACCTGAATCCTCCATGATCTTATTTTGCGCTAGGTTCTACAGAATGAAAATATTAGATAAATAATAGTCGAGGCATTTGAAAGCAAAAATATAATATTTGATTAAGTTGGACATATTATACGTGTTGATAACATGGTCTTATTTAAACATGAAAATATTCTCTTGGGAAATTATTTAATGGTCTTAATGAAAAAAATGTTTTAAGAAGAGCAAAATGAATAATATCATGTGTATACTATATATTTGGTAAAAAAGCGATGTTTGAGTATCTTTAAAGGAGGTGAAGCTTTGTGGTTTAGATGAGATTTTTTTTTTTTGAGATTTGGAGAATTTTGACAGTTATTTGCTTTGCTTTCTTAATAAATCTTTGATCAAATCATATGTTCTAAGTTAATGTCTACTGATTGGATGATAAATAATGGGGTGCAAGTTTGTAGATTTGATAATTATGGGAAATCCTTAAGTTTTATTGTGAAATTATATTAGTGCTTATAGAATCTAAAGCTTAAACAAATTATACTGGCATGATTTATGATAAGATATTTAGTGTTGATTTAGTTTTTGCTTGAGACATTCATTAAAAAGTATGTAAAGCAACAAAGTGTTCTTCATATAATTTTTATTGATCTTGAAAATGCATATGATTTGGCAATGTATTAATTGATTGATGAGTATAAGGAGAATAATTTAAGGTTGAAGTTTATGTTAGTATTACTAAAAACATGTATCACGCGATAGTAACTATCATTAGGAGTATTTATTTTGACCAATGAGCATACAATTATATCAAATATATGCATTTTGTATCTTACTTTATTAATGTAGAGATGCATAAGAGAGAGATTTAAAGCGAGGCGCCACCACAATGTGTGATACTTGTTGATGAAATATTGATAGGTTGGCCTATTTTGACATGAAAACTAGAACAATTGGGGGAATTTGTTGAAGATAAAATGCTCAAGGTCAATAGGTGAAGAGCAAACAAATGATATAAAATTTTAGTCTATGTAAACTTTCTATTTATTAATCAATATTGCTTGAAGAGCAAGTGATTTTTTAGGGTGATAGATTAAAATGTCTTGGATCTATAATAAAAGAAAATCGAACCCGAACAAGAAGATTAAAATGAAAATTTTTCTCAGGAGTAGTATTTACGAAGGTAATAATATGGAAATTTAAAAATAAATTGTATTAATCTATGACGATCAACTAAGCTATGTGGATTCATGTATTGACATAAAAATGTTGTTGCCAAGACTCAGTGTTGCATAAATCCAAATATTTGATGGATTTGTTCTAAACAGAAGTACGTAGAGTAAAACATAATTGTATTAGAGAGATGGTGGGGGCATGACCTTTTGAAGACATGGTTGTGAAATATAAACACGGATAATTTTTTGCATGCAAAAAGTGATAAATAATGGCCAATAGAAGTGGAGATTGTGGCATACTTTGAACCTTTATTTGTTAAGAAAGGAAGCTAATATTGAAAAGAATCATGGGGTTAAAGAGATGCGGGCTCCAAAAATTCTGATTGCTCCATGGACTCAGCTTTTTATTTTATGTTTGTGTTGATAAACTTTGGAGAGTCAAATTTTTAGAATGCAGATTGGATTGTAGATAAGACACTGCTCAAAGATTTTGCTCTCATTTTTGCAAAGATTTTTTTCTGGGGTTTGAGGTTTCTTATAGGCGCGAGCCCCTTTAGTTAATTACCTTTCTTATAACAGGAGAACAATTTTGATTAAAACTAGTTATTAATAATTGAATATTCAACATATAATAACAACAGACATATGATTTTAATTTGTAAAATTTATCGCTTGAAGCTTAAAGCAGATGGTGAGGTAACCATTGACAAAACCTTATCAAGATCCCATGGCTCTGTCGTCCCGGTTCATCGTGGTAAGAGGTAGTTGACCCAAGCCGATTGAAAGATCCATGTCAACAACTATGAGCTGCGTCGTCCCATGGATCCTTGTAGATCTGAGGTGGATATTTGTTTAAGTGGACAAATTTTAGCCAACCTTGGCTGACAGGAGGCTTTGTGCCAATAAATTTTACTCTTTTGGTTTACAACTAAATGGGCAGAAATTGTTGAGTAACATACGTGCTTTGGACGTGGCCATAATCTAATGATGTCATTTGACGGCATGTCATATGACTCTGGTCGTAACCATTATTTTGTGATGCTATTTGACGACAAAACCACATGGATAGAGGACTCAGACCACATTCTTACGGACATGTGATTGCTTTGATTGTTAATATAGAGATACACTTGCTATGCATTCATTCTTTGTGAGTTTATCACCCCCCGACAAACTATTG